GCATTATTTCAATGGAGCTGCATTTATTAGACAATAATCTGCAGTGCATACCTTTGTATTGTTTGCTACTGTCTCCCAGTAATTCTCTGTCCTTCTGTTCTTTGTGTGATGTGAAGAACCAAAGAATTGTTCTGTCTGATAACTCATGCTGATGATTTATCTCAAAGAATATTAGAAATTGAAGCATTCCTTTTCTAAACAGCAGAACGTGACATATATCAGGGGGGCATACTCGCTCATTGGGGACAAACATGTGAGCCAGAGAGAGCGTGCTGGCCCCTGAAGAAGACGACTGCTGATGGAGGATGAAATAGGAAAATGAAAAAGGAAGGCAGGAACGAAGCACTTTATTTCAGATCCATTTAGAAAGCTAATTTGATTATTTACACTCTCTGGATCCTGGCAAGTGGTTCGCTTCCAGAAATCCAAAACATTATGCTCACTTGAGTCCACATGACATCTCTTATAAACTTAAAGACACCTCGCAGCTATGTGCAGCTTGCCACTCTGATACACAAACAGCAAGGAGGTACATTAGGCCACTTTAGTTCAACCAAAGGGATCCGTCATCCCGCTTTTCTGAACGCACATGATCACCGGACACATGAGCGATCCGGGCGTTGATCATCCGGTGCTCTCATGCTCTTTCTTACAGAAACCAAGCAAGTATCATTTTTTTATTATTGCAACTTACAACATATCATGCAAGCCAGCTACAAGCAGTCGTTTTCAGTAGTGGACCTTAAGCTTAAAAGAGATATTCACTGCTGTGCAATGTCTGCAGTCATTAGACGTAATATGAGTTAGATATTTTGGTGCCTTTGCTTTTAAGAACGCCTACTCTGCACGCTGAATCTGTCGCTGTGCCCTGTCTAATGGAGCCTGAATGACAATAAAACAAACAGCGAATAAACACATAGAGAACTGGGTCATCATGTTGTCAGACTGATATATTAGATATCTACAGCCCTTTCTCTCATGTCTTTCCTGTGCACTTTCACTCAAAAAGCACCAAACGGGTGCACGGAAAAGGCCCGGTCCACACAAACAAACAGGTGGGGACTCGCTCGATAGAGTGAACAACCACTGTTTCCATGGTGATGGCTGAGATGACTGAATGGCTCAGATTTGATGCAAGCAAGTAGTCGAATTTGTAGAGATGGAGTCCTTAAAGACTCAAATAGCATATTGAGAGTGCAGACAGCATTCACATTCTGTTCATTCCTCTCAGTTTGTTCCCTGCTCGCTTGTCACTCAAGTGTGGTGAAGGCTTAAAAACAAATGTGTAAACAGAAAACTGGATTATGGGCCTCTTAAAAACAGTCACATATTCCCTTTTTTTCATAGAAACATGGACACATTTCAGCAAATTACAAGACAGCAGACAGAGTACGAACATATGCCCCCATCTAAGTTATGCAGTCAGATTATATCACTCGTATGCATTTTCCATTACAAGGCCCAGCCTTGTGCTCGAGTCTTCTGTGAAGAATGACAGTGCAAAGCAGGCAGATGAGGCAACCTTTTGAGGATGTGTTCAATTCAGTGAGTCTATAAATACAATCCTGGGCATGCACCGGAAAGGTCTGAGCCTGCAGGAAAGGCTCAGTTACAGCAGTGTGTTTGGTCAGATGGCGTCATGCAGTTTTTGAAGAACAAACTTTGCCTGCAAGTCTGGCATAAGGGGTGGCTTGGAGGAAGCTACACAGCTACACCACTGACTGTGTAGTTACTTTGCTTTTTTTTTTTTCTTGCAGCCCAGCCCAATGCTGCATTGTAATAGAATAAAAATGTCAAACTGACAAATGGTCATATAACTTTGGCTGCTGAAGGTGCTAGGGACATAAGAAAAGAACAAGGAAAGGGGGGAGCATGTGTCACACGGTGAAGAATGAAGGCTCATTAGCATTCAACAGTCAGACATGCAGTAAATAATATTTTGGAAAATGAGCCTCTAATCTAGTTGACTTTCTAAACAAGCCATAGTCTATTTGAATACATTTTTTCTGTGTTGGATGAATGTTAACAATGTCCTTGTTGCTTTTTATATAATTTCCTCTTGTTTTCTGAACTGCACTTTATTTATTTTGCCTAAATTAAGCCCTCGGCTTCTTAACGAGAATAGGAATAACAACACAAAGAAAAAACTGAGAAAATACAAACTTACACATTAGTTCATACAACTCCAGAAAGCACAAGTTTTATCACTGAGTAAGCATTTCAAGCCAAATACAGACACTTCATTTGATTTCAATCCTTTTCTTCCCCCTCCTTCAGGGAAATAATCATTCTGTTCAACTCACGCAGGTCTGTACGCCGCCCCATCTGTGTCTGGGAAAATGTCTCTTTTGTAAAGTTTAGTACTTTGTACCAGTTGACTTTGTAGAATATTTGTGATTTCCCATTGTTCAGTGCATGTAGCGCTATGAAACTTTGACACACAGAACTTGTAAATATTATCTAAAAAAGAAAAGAGAATAAAAAGCTATAGGAAAATGTCTATAATGAGCAGTTTTGAAGCAGATTTCTCATTTTACTGACTGATGCTTAATAAAGACAATAATCCAGTGTTGGTCCCGCGAGTCTCACTCTTCTTGTAAGACAGTTCATTATTTAAGCACAGAATTCTTTATTTCGATGCGCGTGGCTCTTGTGGTCCTCCATACATAACAACGTGTGACAGCAAACTGCAGTGACTGCACAAGCCTGAGCTAAAGGGTCGAGGATAAACACTGCTTGTTTTATACAATAGCTCCCTCTAGTGGTATGTTTTCGTATCCATTAAGATGTGTACGGATCCGATGTCTCTGACTAAACTTTCAGGAGTGGGAGGTTAAGTTTCCCATGACGCCACATGAGAAACACGGACTGTTGTGGAGGGGTTCACCAGTAAGTTCACATAGAGAAATACTGAGCAGATTTGGTGCAACTCTCCACAGCAGTCTCAGTATGCCATTAATTTACATGGAAGAACAAACTGTATTTCCTGCATCAAACACAGTACATCTAGTTTTAATGATGAGTGACCAGTGAAGTTTCCATTCTGTGCCAGCAATGACCACCAATACCAACATCAACACTTAATTACTTGTTGATTATTTTTACAGTTATTATTTTTATTGCATTTTTCAAAATCTTAAGGTGACGTGGATATCAATTCAAGGTAAAAAAAAATATGCATCCAACTGTCCATTTTCTTCCATAATGGAGCAAACACTATTAGAACACTGGGACCAGAACAATATTTTTGCTTGACTAATGAGCCCATGCTTTGGCGAGATACTCAACCCCAAGTTTGGTCTAATGGATCCATTGTAGTGTAAGTGTGAATGCATGAAAGCAGTATATGAACAATATGGGAAAGAGCAGAGACACAATTTAATTTAATGACATACAGTAGTGGGGTTACAAACACACTGGGTGTGCAAAGACAGGAATGGAGAAGAAGTGCATCATGGGAAGTCCCACATTCTACTTTTAGGATCTCTCTGAACCACCAGGAAGTGTGCAGTCTGAGAACGAAGTGCTCTGATTGGACAATATGGTATTATCGGGCCTTTAAGATATGATGTGGTCTGATTGTTCAAGAGTTTTATGCGAGGAGACAGGTTTTATATTCACTTCTGGATTTAACAGGGAGCCGATAAAGAGAAGTTGATATAGGAGAAATGTGATCTCATTTTCTAATCCCTTTTAATATTGTCACTGTAGAGATTTCTATGGAAGGTTCACTCTAAAAATTTTATAGTCTAACCATTTTAAAAAGAAGGTTTACAAGATCGTAGTGAGCCTTGCTATGATGTATGTTTGGAGGCGGTGGGACTGAAAAAAAAGGACAGGAGGCTAAGATGGAGGTGGCAGAGTTGAAGATGCTAAGATTTTCATTGGGAGCAAGCAGAATGGACAGGATTAGAAATGAGTGTATCAGAGGGACAGCTCAGGTTGAGTGGTATGGAGTAAAGTTACAGAAGCAAGGCTGAGATGGATTGGCCATGTGCAGACGAGAGATAGTGGACAAAATGGATAAAGGATGCTGAATATGGAGCTGCCAGGCAGGAGGAAAAGAAGAAGACCGCAGAGGAGGTTCAGGGATCTAGTGAAGGAGGATGTGCAGAGGGCTGGAGTGACAGAGGAAGATGCTAGTGATAGGGTGAGATGGAAGCAGATGATCCCCTAAAGGGAGCACCCAAAAGAAGAAATTGTTAAAGACTATAAGCAAACAACAAAAACTATTTTTCAGTGACTGTAAAAGTTATGTTACATCATTCTACACCATGACCGAGATTGTGAAAAGGATTAAGCTACAGTAAACGCCAGCAACAACCTTAACTGAAGTAGTCATGTCTGTTACACGAGCACTGCAATAACACAAAAACATTAAGTGTGACCTACAGCAGATCACGAGAAAATATTCCAAGAATATGAGTTTATGAAAAACGCTACTTATTAGAGATTTGTGCGCACATGATGAACAGTTTATCAGCTTAACATTTTGTACAGAGTTGGATAATCCACCTCACATCATGGATCAGGAATAACTTCTATACTAAGATGAAAGGAGAGGAATGTATATCATAAAGTCGTTTACTGTAGTAACTGTGACACGTTTAAACTAAAGGTTATAAGTCGCACTTTGAAATAAGACCCTGTTTATTTATTATAAGGAGGACAGATTTTTTTTCTTTTACCTCAAAATGTATAATTAGAAAATAGTCATAATAATTAATACTTTTAAAATATTTTTAATAAATAAAATAAAAATATATAAAGTTAAACTCTTAAAATATTTCATTTAAATGAAATACAAAAATAAAATCTACACTTGAAATAATAAACATTTTGTGAACTTACAAAACTGCACAGCCTGCTTGATGAGGCTTCCGTGCACGTTTGTTGATTGGTTACGTCATGACTTCGAGGTCAGCTGTCTTCTTCGCCAAGTGTTTGCATTGTAACACCTATTCCGATGGTCATAAACCGTATTGTATTAAAATGACCGAAAGCAACAGTGAGACTACTAAAACGTTTATATGAGCAGATTCCCCCCGAAAACTTTTTGATTCTAAACTACGATGAAAACATGAACCCAAAACTAAAATAACAGCTCAGAAAGTAAAAGACTGCAATAACTCTGGGTCCACTGAGTGTTATCGTAATCCCTGCCTCAATCCCACAGCCGCTCTTTATAAGTGTATTCAAGCGAGTCACTCAGCTCTTCATTTATCAAACAAAAAGCTGCTCTATTGGCGGCCGCCATCAGCCGACCGTCCTATAATCCGGCACAGTTACATAAAACAAGCCTCCAACCCCAACGTCACACGGAGAGGTAACTACACTCCAAAGCTTGGCATTCTTTTTTGTGTGACTCGTTGGCTTCTCCTGGACGCAGAAGCAGCAGGTGTGTCAAAGCGTCATGATTGTGTTAGTAGACTTGTTGCTGATGCTAATCGACCTAACCGGCTCTATCCTGAGTGCCATCCTGCAGACTTTCCTTCGGCCGAGGCTTAAATGCATCGATGGGGAACTGTGTCTGATCACGGGAGCCGGGGGGGCGCTGGGTCGGCTGTTCGCCCTGGAGTTTGCCAAAGAGGGGGCCCACCTGGTGCTGTGGGACTGCAACGCGGCTGCCAACGAGCAGACTGCCAGGCTGGTGCGAGAACTGGGCGTCCGGGTGCACACCTACACGGTGGACCTGTCCAAGCGTCGGAACATTTACGAGACAGCGAACCGGGTGAGAGCGGAGGTCGGGCATGTCTCCATAATGGTCAACAACGCAGGCGTAGTGGCTGGACGGAGGCTGCTGGACTGTCCGGATGAGCTTCTGGAGAGGACTCTGCTGGTGAACTGCCACGCGCTTTTCTGGGTGAGAGCTGATGCTTTTTTAACGCACACATTCTTGAGCCACCACTTTAAAGAAAAAAAATTAATGGGCGATCCACCGGTCTCACAGGAGTTATGTAACACCCATTTAGTGTCCTCCTCGCTGGTTCCGGTTGGACTTGTGCACTGATGTGTCATAATGATGATCATAACTCATGTACACATATAAATAAAAACACGCTACAAGCCAGCATCAAGTTAGGTACGTGATCCTGCTTTCGAGCCTCCTAAAGCCTCAATCTCCTGCTCATAAAATAAGTGACAATAAGCGGATTTGCGTAAAATCGACGAGAGACAAACGGTGGGCGGCTTTTCTCTTTATTGTTATCAAATAAGCTACACCTGATCCGTCAAATGAGACTTGTTTCTCTCTGGTTTCTCTCCTGTTTCCACGTGTTAGCTTTTATTCCAAGTTTCACTGTTTGAATACATATTCATAGCACAAATATAGTATCAGTTAAAGTCATAAAGCTGTGAAACATCGACAATGTCCCATTTTCAGTTTTCAAAACCAAGATCCTCCAAACAATAAAACCAACCTTCATGTGCATATTCCCATATCTTCGTAGGTTTTGGGGGGTTGGTATGTAAATACACAAGCTATTTTACACTAAAGCCTACCTGGAGTCAACTATTTTTCTCTGCATGTCTAATCAAGAGTTCATTTGCCATTAATAGCCTTTCTTTGGGAATGTCCTCACTTGACTTTTTGCCCCATTAAATGGCTTTTAAAGCATTCTTAAATTACATTTAAAAGGAGCTTCTGTGCAAGTTTGCAGCTCCATATTTTTATTGTTGGACTTTGTAATTGTCTTGTGAACTTGGCCTGATGCAGCCTGACGGTTCCTCGTCTGTCTTAAACAAGCCCTTTTAGCTCCTATATGTTTAAGTCCTCTGTCTTTTAGCATACTTTGCTCCAGAGCTGTGTGCAGGTACTGATGTCTCTCTCTCTATGATGTCACACAGAGCCAAATGCCCAAAAAACAGTGTGAGAAAGGTAATTTATAACAGTCTGGAGTCTGGGTACTTACTTCTAAATATCATCACTGCACGAGATCAAAATAAGGAAAAGCACAATAATTCCACTTTAATTTCTGAAAAGTTGTAGACACATAAAGTATGCAAATCAGATTTTGAGCTTTAAGCAAAGGTTTATGGTTCCTGGCCCCCATGATAAGCTTTACTGCTTCACTTACTGCTGCAACCTTCCTAATTTCACCCAACAGATGACGAAAGCGTTCCTGCCACGGATGAAAGAACAAAATCATGGCCACATCGTGACCGTCGCCAGTGCACTTGGACTGTTCAGCACTGCCTGCGTTGAGGTACACTGCAAAGAACTGTTCGAGCACAAACTTAACAGAAATACTTTCCAAAGCGTATGTTAACTGACCCGACAACTCATTTAAAGGCTCCTCTCTCTGGTCTTTCTACTTCCCTCTACAGGATTACTGTGCTAGTAAATTTGGAGCTGTTGGATTCCACGAGTCACTGACACATGAGTTGATAGCAGAAGACCTGAATGGCATCAAAACCACTTTAGTATGTCCTTATATTGTAGACACAGGGATGTTCGCAGGCTGTGAAATCAGGTGAGATGCAATTATTCACAACTGGAGCTTGCTGGGTGGTAATAATGAAGTAAAGCTGCATTTCAGTATGTTCTTTAATGCCTCTGTATTGCATTTACCAGGAAAGAGCTTCGCAGCATAATTCCACCTCTTGAGCCTCTCTACACTGTGCAGCAGTCTATGAAAGCCATCCTAGCAGAACAGCAGATGATCTGCATTCCTCGTCTTATGTACATCCCCTTTCTTGCAAGAGCGTAAGTACTAAGTGGATTATATGACATGATCAGCTGCTTTTACCAAGGCTTAAATTAATATGGGGCTTTTGTTTTCCATTTCTTGATGGATGTACAATAGAGCATGTTAGCTCATATAAGTACTTGGGCATCTATATTGACACAATGATGTTTTTTTTTTGTTTTTTTAATGTGAAAAATTGCCTCATAGGCGCAGATTGTTTGGCGTAAGCTCTAAAGTTTACTTACAGTAAAGTCAAAATCAACAATTGAGAAACGGGTAAAAATTGCCATGAAAATCATAGGAAACAAAGAACACCGGTCTCCCAAACCAAAATATGAGAAAGCTGTTGTTCATCAGGTTCAGAAAATTGTTGATGATCCATCCCATTTCCCTTTTCAAGAGTTATTTCTCTCATGGAGACTGTATAGAGCACTGATGTCAAACTTATTTTGAATGAGATGATGATCTAAATAGGGCGGGGCCAGTGAGGCTATCCTGTCTGCTACTGAAAACAGTTAAACTACACATTTAATCCCTGAGACGTCTCGTTCCTCAGATTTTCTACATGATAAAGAAATGCTTCTGTAGTAAATGAAAGAAATCAGTTAGCATGACTCTTTGGGGTTAAACTGTCAGAGAAAAATGTGTAAAAAAACAAAACAAAAAAACAGCTGTGGTAGCTCATTGCAGACACTGTGCTATAATTTAAAAAAACGAAGTTTCTGTTACTTTACGGGAAATATCCTACTGTGGACACATTGTGAAAATTTGGCTGTCTTTTAATTGCTTATCTTTTACTTCATTATTTTATCAGCATGAAAAAGCTGTTAAACCTATTCAAATGCAGTTTAAAGGTCAGAAACTCGTGCCCTTCTTCACATTTTCCAAAGCTGCCAATAGTGGATCAGATTGGAGCCTTTGCTGGGCCGATTAAGCCCCTTGGGCCTTATGCTTGACTCCTGGTATAAAGCAACCAACTGTAAAGCAAACCGCTATAAGCACTTAGTCCTCTCAAAATCTATTGTACTTCTAAATAAAGGCTTGGAACAGTTTAAAAGGTCTGGAATTTATCACAGCGTACCTGAATGTTTGCTGGAGTTGCATTACAGGAAAGAGGTTTAATTTTTGTTGGTTTTTGTGTGTGCAGCCATTCAGCACTGCATACCCAAGAGGAAAAGAAATCCCAGTTTTAAAACAAAGTTCATTCTTTTTTTCCTTCTAGCTTACTACCTTGGGAGGCAAATGTTGCAACGTATCGCTTCATGGGAGGCGACAAGTGCATGCTACCATTCATCAAGAACATTGAAATGAAGACCTCCAACGGCCATACCAAATTGTGCTAACGTTTCTGATGGTGTCTTTCTAATATTCTGTGAAAATCTGCTTACATTCGTTTTTTCCAGGACTTCCCAAAGGCAAAATTGTATGAAGCAATTTGTCATGAATGCTGAGCTGCTTAAGTATCCACTGCTGATGCTAAAGGGCCTCGCAAATGAAATAAAAACAATTCATAACAGTGTGGATAGAATAGCGACTGCAGTGATAACAGATCCATACTAGTGCCTCTTTTTATTCACATTAACAAACAGTGCAGAAACAACAAAGACATTAACAAATAAAGGGAAACATGCAACAGAAAAATATTAAGCTTTATGTTTGAGCCACAGACTACAGCCTCATAACCGTAAAAAGGAAGTCAAACATACAAAAGAAATGATTTAAACCCTCCTGTTTGAAATACATGTTCAGCGTCCCACACGTTCAATTTCTTTTATTTATTTTTACATCTGCTGCTGTTGCTGATGTTTTTGAAATAAACTGGTAAGTGCTTCACAACCTGACATTCAAATCCTTGTTAGCCTTTATCACATGAAAAGAAAAAGGCCCAGATATCTTAAAGTAATTCAGTTTTGGTCGTGTTCCTTTTTTCCTTTTCTTAAAAGAAAAACCTTAAAATGACTTCCATTGGAGTACACACCCTGAATTCAGGCAAAATTTACTTCTCTGGTAAATCCATTTAACTTTCAGGTCTCGAGTTCAACTGAAGCAGGTCTGTCATGTGACCGAGGGGTCATTGTGGCTATTCCTGCAGGGTACTGAGATTTTGCTTTGGTTTTAAACCAGCTGCACAGTAGCCGCCTGTAAGTAGCCCTGCAGGAACTGGAGAGCTTCTGCATTCAGACTCGTGCTCAGCATTGAAGGAACCTGCACAGAGGGGGAGGGGGGGTACAATGTTTATCAATATGGTTTCCAAAGTGACAATTCTTGGATTCCAAACACATTGAATCAAACCAGAAAAAGAACAAAACTGCCTGCATTTGTGAACTTACCCTTCCAGGGCAGGCAGTAGAAAGCTTGTGCAGTGACTGGGCCAGCAGGATTTTTGGATTGCCAACAGCATCTCCAATTGGGTCGTGCTCCTTCTTCCCGGCAAAGGCCAGCTGTGAGAAGGCAGTCTGATAGCCCGGTGTGTCTTCGATGTCAATGAAGTGCTCATCGTCTGGGATGCTGTCGTCTTCAGGAAGCTCAAAGAAACCGATGAGGGCCTGGAGCAGTGGGGTCCTGAAGAGATACAATAACTCGTCTTTGTTTTACTCAGGACAACAAATAAACATTGGTATCTACTAATATGTAATATTCCCAGCAGCCATCTCCCCAAGGAGGAACAGGAGGAGTGCTGTGGGTTACGTGTGCGTGTTTGTGGTCCCAAATCCTTTAGTGGGACCTTTGCTTACATCCCAGCATCATCTGGCATTTTCCAGAGAACACCTGAAGTGCAAGGAGCCCATTATTTCCCATAGCATCTTCAGACTCATGTGCTCAGTGTGAACTAGGGCTGCCACAATTTGTCGACTACTCACGATTACGTCAACTATCAAAATCGTCAAAGATTAATTTAATAGTCATCTGAAGCTTTGTAAGATCCTGAAAGATGCAGGAATAAGTAGCAGGATTTAAGAGTGTAATAACGGACTGAAACAGAAGAAGGCAGCACTGCATGTACAAGGATGCCAGCTGCTGTTAAACCCCGAAGAAGAAAAATGAGTCTCCGGTATCGTAGCGTGTCCAAATTCAGGGGCCGCATCTTTTGGAGGCCACATTTGTTGGCCGATTACGTTACAGCAACGCAAGGAAGGCTGTCCAAATTCAAAGACTCCTCCAAATTTGTCCTTCATTTCCAGTTTCCAACAATGGTGGCAGCTACTGAGTTTTAATATTACTCTTTCTTGGTCACAAAATAAAGTTTTAACTTATTTTCAGGTGAGAATGTAGCTGTGTGAACTTTAAATATCTGCTTGGTTTATTAAGACACCAGATTTTTGCACAAGTGCTCCGATGTTTTTGGAGACACCTGTTACCCACTAGCTCGATAGCTAGCCGGGGGTTCAAGCCTCACTAGAGCCGGCGAGAACAAACTCCCGGCACATTGTTTTCAGATCCCCGCTCAGATCTTCTGCTACTCAGGTTAAACACTTGGATAACTTAAAAATATTTTTGTTTGGCTTTTGTCAGTATTTTACTGAGAAAACGGTTGGCTGAGATTAAAGTTATAATTTTCACACAGCTGAATAAACAGAAAACAGAGAAGGGATTAAACAGAAGTGTGAGATGGTAGAATATACTCCAGTGTCCTGTTATATTTTAGATAGCAAGGAGCAGACGGCTGAGTTTATTAAACTCCACCGAGACAATCTGCAAATTTCATTAAAGGTTTAATCATCTTTTTAGTCTTTTTAGTTAGCACAAACCTTAAACACTTTAACCTGTAAGCTAATGATAGTTACATAAGAGCAGATGCATGCTGGTGCAATAAACTTTACGTTTTATGTCCAGGGGATGCATGATCTGATTAGTCGACTATCAAAATAATTGTTTGTGGCAGCCCTAGTGTGAACCTGCTCTCTTTGTAGATGAAGTGGATTTAGAGCGGTTTATACTGTAGTTCCTAACTGGACAAGCTGACGTCCCTGAAGTTTAACTGATTTTGGGTTACTGTAATATAATGATCCACTGTCCACTTCAATCTCAGGCAGTGTAAATGAAAAGTGTGCATTGCTGCTGTGTAAAGTTTTTAAATGTTCGAGCTTCATGTTTTCTTACCAGAGTTTCGTGTACTCCGTGTCCATCATTGCAGGACACTCAGTGAGGATCTTTGTAATGCCAACAGCACAGATCTTTTTCTCGACTGGTCCAGACACCTTCTGAACCTCTGGAATAACAATTTTCTCCAGCACCATACCAAACATTCTGCAACACAAAGTCAGTGAATTTAATACACTTTCAAATCGGTCTTTGGTTTGAAATTAAATTACAGCTACTGGTAACTACTGCACTCTATAATCACACACACACACTTTGCAATGTCATCACTTCAGTCAACTATAGTTTTAATTTTTCCATAAGCACCAGAGCTAGTGAAGAAACTAAAAGAGGTGCATGATTAATTAAGTTTTGACATAAGTGTTACTTTTAAAATAGATCAGCAAAAATTGTGCGTCTTTGCAGTAAGTTTGAAAGCCATCAAATTAGCTTATCAACAGAACTTGTAGCTTCTTTTGTGCAACTGATGGATCAAACAACATTTTGTTTTGGGGTTTGGTTTTTTTGGAACACTTACTTTGGCTGGATGCTGTCAAAAATCTCCTGAAGTGCTATAGCTCCATATTTGACACAATACAAATTGACAAACACCAGGAAACCTATGAGAGGGGAGATAAAAAGGTTCAGTCGCTGGCACTGCTGGAGTAGATTAAAGCTTGAATGTTGCTAATGGTAATGGTATACTAACTCTTGATGAACTTGGTGGTTTTGGAACCTTGTAGCCTCTGGAAGAGCAAAATGAAGATCTGTTTCCTGTACTGAATGAGTGATTCTCTGGCAAAAGAAAGGGAAAACATTAACAACAGCAAAAACCAAAAACCTAAACATTTTTTGCCAAAGACAACACTTTAGAAATGAACCACTGAGGAGAAGATTTATCAGCTTACGGGGGCATGTGCTCTATGATACTGTTGAGAAGGTAAAATCCTTGATGATCATTGGCCTTGGATGCTATAAGCTTTTGGAAAACTCCAAGCAAGCCAGGCTGAGGAAAAAAGTCGACAAACAATAAGAAAAACATGCCATCTTTTTTGCCGAGTAAGAAAACGAGAATCAGAAGAAAACTTGTATAGTTATTTTACTGATTAGCAATTAAAGTACCCGGTTGAGCTAGATTTTAAATTAGTCATCTTCTGGCCAAAAATAAATAAATATTGAAAAAAAAATAACTTGTAAATATAAAATTTAAAAGTATTTGTTCACGAAATTTCAGTGAAGGAGGAGGAGGAGGTTGTGCCATACTCACTATTTTATCAGCAGCAGACCTAGCAATAGTTTCACCTCCCTTCTCCAGGTAAGCCTGAAGGAGGCGCACCAGAGGGGGGATGTTCCCTGTTCGTTCCCAAAGTACAGGCTGCAGCAAATGAGGGAATAAGGCCATATAGGAGGCGGGAATAGAGTTAGAGTGGATCTCTAGGAGGAGAGACATCACCTGGAACACATATGGAAGAAACTCTGCAAAAGAAGACGGATAAAGATGTTGAGTTGTCCCTAAAGAGGCACCAACTGTGTTTTAACACAATCTACACTTAAATAACTGACGTACCCTGAACATCGTTCTGGAGGATCTCCGTGAAGACGGGGAAGAGTGCTTCCTCAAAACTGCTGACTGTAGCGGGGTTCGCCTTGCAGGTGATGCGGACAGACAGGCACAGGGACTCAAACAGGTAGTGGTTAAAGTGAGGTTTGCTGGGATTCTGAAAGCAGACGAAACATTTTTCAATACTTGATGCGTTTCCCCTCAAAACAAATCTATCTGTATATATAAGTACTAACAAACATTGTGTTACCTTGCTGACTTGGAGAAGCTTATGAGTGAGCTGACCAATCAGCGTAGGGATGTAGGGAACAATGGACTCCTGCAGCAGGGAGAAGCTGCGCATGATGGCTTTGAAAATGAAACGAAAAAAATTAACATGCACAATTAGGCTATGTTATTAACTTTGGACTTCGTGTGACAGTGAGTGAGGAGCATTTAGATAACAGGCAAATCAGGCTCACCTTTCATAATGTATTCATTTTCTGCAGAACCAGGAAAAGCCAGTGCCTTGAACAAGTTGTTGAGCAGCTGTTCAGTAAAGGGTGCCATCTCTGCAGCAGTGATACTGATAACACACAAAGAAGAAGACTGACTGCACTTTGGAATCCTTTCATCTTACAGTTTAATACTAAATGGATGGAGAAAACGATACTAACAGGCAATATAGCCACTACTAGGCATGAGTGCTCACAACATTACAGGATTAATACACAGTTTTCCCCTTTAATGATTGAGACAACATTCTAATGAGAATAAATGCTCTTTATTGCAAAGGAAAAAATTAAGTTAATATTAAAATTTACTTCACTAACAGGGTTTGACATACATTTGCGGCTATAACAGACCTGTAATTGTACATATACTCTTCCTCATCACATCTGTTTTTGATACCAAGATGGTGATGGCAGAAACTCTTATTAAGGCTTCAGTACAGACTTCAGAAAACAGTGAGTATTGAGTAGTGAGCTGATAACTAGTCGCTGTAAGCTTTACCTCAGCAAACAATGATCAAAACAGTCCCTAGTTTGACGTTAGTTACCTTTAACTATCACCAAACATGATGCAACACATTAAAATCTGTTCTTTCCTGGCATTGTGCAAACTTACATCCACACCATAGGCCATGAAAACGGATTAATCTCCCCACAGAATTAGGGTTGACATTTCCAGGATTTTCCCCAAAATGCTCCACCCTAAATGTCCATGACTTTTGCAGGCTTTTTACAACTGTAGAAACTCTGGCGTTACATTTGGGAAATGTAAACCTTCTTATATGCTGCTTTTAACATGCAGCTTTATTTCATAGATCAGTCCAACTCATTAACCACTAATTTAAATTTATGTTCTGTATCACTTGTTTGTTTGTTTTTTAACTAAAGAAATGGCGATGGACAAAATGGGACTATAGAGTCTTGCATTGTGTGTGCACTAAAGATGGCACTGCTTAAAAACAATTGGTGTTATAACCAATTTGCACCAACACAATTTGCAGTGCACTCTTTTCTGCTCCTTTCTCGGGTTAAAAAGCCAAAACATCCCCACAGCAGTCCTCTGACCTCCCTTTGTTCTCTGCGTTTTGAGCCTTGGGCCGTGTCTGCTGGGGTGTCTTCTTTGGTAACGCCATTGCTCGAGTTTTAATCAACATTTTTTACTTTCGGTTTTTTCTATTATCCCTCTCACACTTTCAACATACTGGGGCATACAGCTACAGTAACACGTCCTGCTGCCAGATGCTTCTCCTATGCTCTGTGCTGCATGCATCAATTTAACCCAACATGGCTCTATTGACATGACTGGTTCAGCATTATTGTCACTATAATTGGCCTTTTGTGTTGCCTATCAAAACATGGATGGAAAGAAGTTCCATTAACTTTGCCTTACATGTCTATCAAAGATGATAATTATTATTCTATGTGTTACAATATTATTTGATACTTACAGTGTTGTGTTGTTGGGTCCCCTCATAGTGAACAGTCTCTCCAAAGCATGTGCAGCATAAGTGTGCTCCACTGTGCTCTCTGCCTGCAGGTGAGTTATTAGTAGAGGGACTGCCTGCAGCAGCTGCTCTTTAGGAAGCTAAAGACAAAAAAAAAAAAAAAAAAAAAGAGGAAAAAAGAAGATAGAAGCACTCTCGGTATTGGATTTTTTTTTTCTGAAACTGAGCTGGTCATTGGGGAGGGAAAAAAAGCAGGAAGTCATACCTGGCTTCTGAAGATCATGACATACTTGATGGCATCAGCCTTCAGCACTGGGAACTCATTAACTACAATGAAAATGACATGAAGAAAATTCACATTTTCGTTTGTAAATGGCAGAACATTTACACAATATCTCAAAATCTTTAGGATCTCAAAATGAATAGTATCTCTATCATCCAGCTGGTTACAGAGGAATAAATGTGAAGAAACTGCTGTATCGCACAGGCATTGGCACATTAAGATGTGAAGTATTAGCAGTTTTCTTACCATTGGGGGATTTTAAATCAGGGAGAATGTGGTTCACAAAGAACTCTGTCAGATTCACCAGTTCGTTGGCTTGTGTTATTCCATGCTGTTTGGATAAGATAAAGGATTTCACATTTAACACAAATGTTTTAGCAGTTACATATGATATACATCAAATTCAATAACTATGGAGTGCGTATGTCAACCACACCTTTTGTGTCTGGGCTTTCGATGCCAGCGATGTGACCAAATAGATAGCAGCATCCTTGTGTTTCCAGTTCTCCCGAGGTGTCTTGGCGTACTCGGCCAGCATCGAGTTCACGTAGCCAGAGAAGATTGCTGTGACTGGTCCCTCAAAAAATTTACAAAGTCCTCTCACCAAATCACACGCAGCCCTACGGCGAGTGTCGATGTCTGAGAAAGGATGGCAAAATAGGATTATCATCAAGCATTTTGATAAAATGTTTTATAACAACTATATAACATCATTATACGTTTTTAAGATCATTTTAAATTAAGTAAAAAGCAAAACTTTTTTCATTCAAATTTAATTTAAGAGATGGTGATGCATTTTTACCAGATCCCTCCAGGTCTCTTCGGATGTACTCCTCTGAGTTATCTTCAAAGGCCTCCTCATCCGCACCTAATCCGACATTAAATGTCAATCTGGTCAGTGACACTCAGCACATAAGCATGTGTGTATCCAAGCAAGCAACGCCCTGAATCTCTAAGCACTTCCAGGTGTAATTTGATGGCTTACTTCTGAACTCCATGTTGGGCACAATGACCTTCTCACAAATGCTTGTGAGTGTATTCTGGTCCTCAAACAGATGCTTATAGTGTGGCCTTTCACAGACCGATGCCAAGAACTGGATAGCATTGCTTACGAGCTGCAACAAAGACAAGGTGAACTGTAAGTATGGGCTAAGTGAACTTCAAAAATAACAGAAACACAGTCAGGTCTCACTGTTCTCACCAGGTCATATTTGACTTCCTGGCCAGTAGAAACTAGAAGGTTCCAGATTGCAGTAACAAAGCGTGGCAGGTATGGCTGAAATTCCTCATCGTACTTCTGAGCATAAAGAGCCGCATTGTCACAGATCTGAGACTTCAGCAGCTCCAGGAGACCTGCCTCCTCCTCATCCTGGGAGACGCACACAAATGTCAGAAACACTTTTGCAATAAGTGATTAAACTATGTTGCAGTAAATGTAAAGGAGAAGATAACTCACATCTGTTTGTAAAAGTTTATTATCCAAAGTCAGTAGGCCATGGAAATTGGTCATCCAGGTTTCCATATTGTCCTCAAAAAACTCTGGAAGGTCCTGTGTGACACGGCAGAGTTTACTTACAGTGCACATGAATAAATTCCTAAACAGACTGAAGCTAACCAGATGTTACTGGCAACATAGTAGTGCTACCTTTTTTGTAACTATCCTGATTTATCAATAATTACTATACAACTACATTAAATTCTTTTTTTTAATATATTATTATTTCAAAGAACTGACCTGAAAGTTAAGACTGTAGAAAAGCTTGGCGATAAGTGTGAGTGATGAGAAGAGGACCTTCAAGGCATTGACATCTGTAGCATGAGTTTGACACAGCTCGATTGTGGCCTGCAACAAAGACGGATGTATTCCTAAACCTTGTTTAAAAGTTTTATTTTGTTAGGTGTTACATAACATTTGGTTTAATGGCGATAACAAACCTTGAATAGTTCAGTCAGAGGTAGAGCAAACGTGTCCAGAACCAATTTTATCTCAGACCAAAGCTCATTTGACTTGAACTCATGGCGATACCTTAAAAAGAAGAAAAGGTGCAGAACACATTAAATTGTTTTATGAAAACAGATTCATAAAAGATTTTAAAATCACTGAGAAGAGAGTTCTACCTCTTGAAGAGTGAATGTGCAGTGCGCAGCACACCGTTGATGATGTGGAAATCTCCACTTCTGAAGCGAGTCACCATCTCTGTTAGAAGGTCTGGCCATTTTTGTGGAAAGTCTTCACGTCCTATGATGCTGATGGCATCACTTAACTGTGAAGACAGATTGGACACATGAGTAGGAGTGAATTTATGGATATTCTTCCTTTGCTTTAAAGTACACCTTTTAGGGACAATGGCGTGTTGGGACGCACCTGTTTCTGAATCTGTTCCGGGCTGCTCAGCATCAAATTTACAATGTTTGCTTTTATTGCCGTTCGGTCAGGATCAGAGATTTTGTTGGGTTCATCTTCAACCTGTGAGTAAACAAACCACAGAATTAGGCCAGCATAAACAAACCTGCTCACAGGTGTTAAATTGTATTACACACAAACTTTTCGAGAACCTCAGCAGACACATGACAAAATCAAAACAATTATTAATGGAATAAAGAGGAAAAAAATCTTAATCTAGATCACTACAACCGATCAGCTTTATACTGTGCTGTTAAAGTGCTGAATACACTGCCTATGTAGTGCCATGCCGGTGTAAATGAATGGCAATGCATTTTTAACTGCCCCCACCCCTGGACTGCGAAGCTGAAGGGCTTATGCCACACTGCTAACACTGAGGTATTTTATGTGCATGGGAGAGACAAAGGAGACTGTTTCTTTCAGTTTAGCAAGCAGATAACAAAAGTGAACTCTAACAATTTCAAATGGACCTGGGTTCAATGATAACACAGTGTATTTCTATTCAAAGATGTGTGCAGAGAAAAACACTTTCAATCAGGCTGTTATTCAGCAAGACTCACAATTCTCCAGTTTCTCTTTATATAATTTTTGAATGTCACAGCAGCACAGACGCGGATCACGTTGTCCTGGGACTTCTCCAGCAACGTGAGAAGTAACAGTGGATAGTTCTGGTTTCCTTCTACAGATTCAAGAAACTTTTCAGCTGTAAGGGAGGAAAAAAAATGTTGTAAAGGAAGTATTAGAGTAAATATTAGAGTAAATGAAGTAAATAAATTATTCATAGCTCAATAAATAAGTGAACAACAACATTCATTGTAAACTCCTTTTTGATATGCAAGCTGTCATTAGAGTGTATTACCAGGACGTCTGACTGTTGGATCTGGGTCGAGGGTTTTTCTTAGGAACTCAGTCAGGGTCTGTAGGTTAGCATCATTCAGCTCCATGATCAAAACTACAAGGGAGTGGAAAAAAGACTGAAAGAGTAAATTACTGAAAAACAAAAAGTGCGTTGCAAGAGACTAAATGCAGTACCTCATATAGGTTGACAACATGTAACGATCTAACTAAATCTACAACATTTTTAGCAATGCCTTAAAACCTGTGCATTGTTTCCAGCAAAATAACATAAAAGTTCCCATGTGCATACGTAATTTGACTTGATTTGATTGAAAGCCGTTTCATTGCTCTAACAACCCAACTTAACTCTTGACTCCTAAGTTTACAGTGTGTCTGCTAGGCTAAATCATTCATGCATTCATTTTAGCCTGGTAGCAGCTAAGCACTATAGACTGCCAATGCCAGATTGAGGTAATGTAGCCATAATTTGGCACCGCTGCTGACTCCAGATCGGTTTATGCGGCGTAGCGTCTGAGCTAGCAGGCTAAAGGCTGTCTAGTCTCCTGCGAGTTTTAATATAAGCACATGGCCGTCGCAGATTCGCATGTATTGGACAGTATGCAAGGTCTACGTTATATTAAACCATTTCATCACTGTCCCGAACAAAGCAAAAAGGGGGAAAAAAAGCATATTCAAAGCAAGATGGAAAGCAGGATCTCGATTCCAGTGAATAGACTGATCCAGCAGCCGGTCCTGTCCAAGTCATCCAGCTACAGTTAGCACTAGCTTGCTAATGTGTTTGCTGCTAACCATAAAGTTAGCTAATTTCCGAACAATATAAATTTCCTCTTAAGTTATTGAACCGTAACAAATGTCAGACACTGAATTAACTGTCACTGAATACCACAACTGTTAAAGCAGTGGGACGCCTTACCGTGATAGTTAGTTTAATTTAGGATGGGATGGAGAGCCACCACAAGTCGTACAGACGTACCGCTTCCCGAGCCAGCTTTCAAATACCTTGAGTAAAAGGAACTGCGCGGTTAGAGTACTGCGCAAGCGCAGATGTCACGCCAACGTCGTAAGGCACGCCCCTTGTCTAGGTTTAAGTGTAGCAGTACTAAACGGTTATTTATTTAAATGTTCCTGTTGAGGTGGAAGTCGGGGTGGGTTTAAAAAAAATCCATTTTGGCTTGAATAACGCAACATAGATTCATTAAATCCTAAATCTATTTTTAAATATAAATGTATTATGCCAGAAATGCCTGAATTCCAACAACCACCAAACAGCTAAAACAACAAATAAGAGCAGGTAAATGGATTCCGCAAAAAGATATAAACACAATACGCGGACCCGACACATCAGTGAGATGTAGGCTGTCACTCGATGGCACGTAGGTTACTGACATGCCGTCGGGGTTGGAAGCCTCATTCTGATGCTCCAACAAAAGTTCACTGAATCAGAAGCAAAAGAAGATCAAAACTACGCTTCACATTTGATAAATATCGTCATTAATCCCCTCTTACTTTTGCTGTTTTGCTTCCACCACGATGAAAATCACACTTCCTGCACATCTCTCTCTCTCTCGGTATACTTCAAGAATAGTTTCCCATCTCAAAGTGTCAGTACCGATAAATGAATCAGAATTATAGTATTTCTGACTGACTCAAAACTGAATCGAATCGAGTGGATTTTAGGATGGAATTGGACCTTGTGAATCGGAATCGAATCGATTATAGAAACCAGTGACAAAACCCGGCACTAATTAAATGTATGTGTTACATTTTTAAAATTTGAAAACAAATTTAAGGCCACAAACATAAGATGAAGTAGACTGAACACGATTTTTTTTTTATCAATTTGTTTAAGTAAGTCACCACTACTTTTTATTCAGAAAGCTGATGTGAGTTGTCTTAAATTTGAAAAACTAAGTTGGAAATTTTGTTTCCCAGTGGGAAGGATAAATGGTTTGAAAATGCCATGTCACTGCTTTCCTCCTCCCTCGCACAGATCAGTCTGTATGTTCATGGCGCCCACATATTTTTCTGGAATGTGTTGTGCAAACCTGGGTTCAGCTGGAGAAGCTTCAGCTCAAGAGATTATTGTTGGCATTGCTGTGATTCTTTGCGTGATACACTGATTTGCTGAGTAAATGTTTACTCTTATTCAAACTGTTTTGTGCCTTCTTTCAGTTTAACACCAGGTTTATAAACAGCTTGCTAGCTAGTGTTAGTCTAGCTTCGGCTCATGTTACTTAAAGATTAACCCCACAGCTTTAAAAACCTCATATAAAAATCCTTCCGTGAAATTTATTGATTGTTTGAAATAGAAAAGTCAGCAGCTACTTGATAAGAGGGCAGACAAAGCTTTTCGGAAGGTGCAGCTGTTAGGGCTGGGGGCTTTTTTTCAAGCCATATGAACTTTTATAACATATGAACTTTATATTCTTAACTCCTGTATTATTTTAATGCTTTGTGGGTGCTTTTGAACATCAGTGGTACCTATTAATGTCAAACCTAGCCTTTCTTTAGCAACAGAAGCATACTGTTTTTACATTCAACAAACATTTCTGTTTAATTACATTTTAACCAACAACAACAACAATAATAATAATAATAATAGTATTTGTTTTGTTAAAAATGTGTTTCGATACAAGTTTTGTTGTGAAAGTCCAAAGCCATAAATCAGATCAATGGCCTGTTAATTGGTTAAAGTCTAAATTGGCTTTATAGTTGAAAATAAAGTAATTTAGCTCATCCTTCCAAACAAATAATTGAATTCCACAGTTGAAACATTTTGCTGTTGCCTTTGTGCCTATAAACACTGCCATATGTTTGGTCATTGTGCTTATTAGAAACGTTATATATTAGAAGTTAGCTTTTGACAAGGATGTAATGATTATATTTAAATTAGGTGGTCTTTTTTAAAAACACATATCTCTTTAGGTCTAAACAGTGGCAATACCACACATTCAGACACAGTAGTTGATGGTGTTTTTAATATTATATGTGATTGTCTAATTTGGATGTATGAGGTCTGCATTGACCTTCTGTGTTGTAAATTATAACGGCTGCACAGCCATTAAGGATTAAATCAGCTTCTAAATAATTTTATGGTTTTTCTCCCTCTGCTTGCTTCTTACTGTCTTGGAGGGTCGGGACCAGCACTCGCCACATTACATCAAACTCTTACAAGTCTAGAAAAGGAGCTGTTGAACAGAAAGACATCAACTGAGTGGTAAAAATGTTGGTTTTCCAAAATATTCGTAATCGTCAGTGACATTTATATTAATCAGGCTGAACTTTAGTCATACTTTAGATCAGTGGTTCTCAAACTTTTTACATCATTCCCCACATGGCAGGAAGAAATGTTTTCACGCCCCATGCAAACAAACGAATGACAGAAAATCTGAGTTGCATCTTTATTTAGATAGCAAACTCATTCACAATGAATTCTTCAGTAATTTTTGTTTTAAATGAACAACTTTCATTTCAAACAACTATTTGTGACTTTTGTCACTTGACTGCTTCATTAGTCTGCACCACAGAATGCACAGAATGTGAACTTTGCCAGGAACGCAAAAATAAAGTTCAGTTTTAGTCTTATTAAAAAGGAAATCCAGAAACCTGCGAACAGAGATGAAAAAATATTATTTAGTAAGAGCTTAATACTTTTCATTCTTAGTAGCTGCAGTGTGCCTGTTTTTCACTGCAGAGCTTTTCAAAACATGGTTGCAGGCTTGATACTGCCACTCTCGAATCATGTTTAATGTTCAGCTTGGATCTATGCTTTGTTTTCAGTGAGACAACAGCAGAAAACCCCATCTCACAGAGATAGGACATGGCAAACAGAAGCAGAATGTCCACAGCTCTGTCCTATGAGTGGATGCTCCCTCTCCACACCAGCCAGAATTCACTCAGTGTCTGAGCTGCAAACCTCAGCCTGAGTGTGGAGTCAGAGGTGATCTTGATGAGCTGGTAAAATCATCAGGTACAGATGCATTAAATGGATCTCTCCCCCAGGCATACTGAGCACTGTTGTTTGGGAAGAATTTCTGAAAAAATGCTCTCAGGGAAGAGATGTGTTCTTTAAAACACAAGATCACTGTGCTAGCTCCCAGCTCACTGGGTTCGGCAAAGTTGATCAGATTCTCAAAGGAATCAACATTTTGTTCATCAAGTCATCTGCTGTAGATCTCAAGTTTTCAAGTGAATGCACTGATTTTGTTTGCCTGGATGTTTGCCTCTACCTTGAAGCTGCAGATTTAAATCATTAAGCTTTTTTATGGAAGAAATATAGTATCATCAGAATTCAAGTATTTTTAGACATTGAATTTATGACACTGAATTTTTATCCTCCAAATTTCCCTGCAAAAATATTCACCTGCAAAAATTCAC